TTTAGCTGCAATGTTAGTTCAATCGCATTCTCACTCAGGAAGCGTTTACTTGAGAATAGACTCATTTTCTCATCAATCGTTTTTAGTCAGACGTCCACACTTTCCAGCATTTAAATGTATTGAACCTTTTTACCTTTGGTAGCTTGCAAGTGGTATTCAAAGTGGTTTTTTCTGTTGAACGCCAGTTGTTGCGGAAGTATAAGGTGCTCCAAAACGGACTACCTAAGCATCCGTAACACATTTATTTTGTTGGAATGTGGAAACCACAGACCATCCTACGTTGGGGGTGGAGTGTCCTATCCCGTCCCGAGGCAGTGCGTTTTCGTTTCCTCTTTGGTCTAAAGAAAAAACTGTTTATGAGGTTCAAAGGGAGTCACCCGCTCTTCATTGTTTTCTAGGCAAGCGGTGAATGTCTGGTTGTGTTCCCATGCACTGAGTACTCTCGAAATTATCTCACTGTTACTCCAAATAAAACGAAGAAGCTTAAGTTCTTATTTGCCATTATGCCATCATTCTATTTTGGTCATACTAACCGTGTTCTTCCACGCATATGCTTCGTCAATGGCGGTCGACGAATTCATCGTCCCTTACCAGATGGTACCCTCGAGTTCGTTGACTGTGTTGGACCGTATAGCTGGGTTACAAAACTACATATGGAAGGCCAACTTACGCTTCACCTTTGAAAAAGGAACATCCTTCCTAAACATGAGAAACATTATGCTCTGCTCGGACTTTGGATATTTCTTGCAATGAAAGCCACTGATAATTTTGCCGCGGTTGAACAGTTCAAAGGCTTCTCTTAGATCCGAACTACCCAACCGATACGAAGCTTGGAATGCGCGAAACGCTACCAGAACTATGTCGTTCTCCACCTCTAGGGCTTTCAAGCGGGAGATTGATGAACTTGAGGTTGCATTATTACTATTATCATCATCCCTTATACGTTCCCTCTAGCAGTATGCAAAGTTCCAAATGCATTTTGGAACTTACTCCAATCGTGTAAAACGATACAAGAGCACCTTAAGTTAAGGCACTTCATAAAGCCATAGAACCACTTCGTTCGGTTGTTCATCATCATTAACATCATCTTTAATTAGGCGACCGCATGAAATGTCAGCTTACCTTCACACGCGCGTCCCTCTGTCACTCCAGATGCTGGGTGGGCAGACCTAACGAATAAGTACACACGGCGTTACAACGTAGTGACGAGCCGACACCACTGCTGGGGATGTAACGGATTTTGTGAGCAGCTATTAAGATACTGCACACATCAGCAAGAATGTAACTGCGCTCACGAACTGCTGACCACAGCCGGAGCGCAACGACGTCGTACGCAGGTGAGGAAATCCGGAGCACATCGATAGCGTAAGCGGGCCGATGACCAGTCGCAAGCGGATTACCACATCTTTTGCGCCGTGACCAATCCTCGACTCCCGCGAAGTGTGTTGTTTTCGAGCCGGGGGTGTGGATGGAAGAAAAGGATGGGTGGCCAAGCGATGACTTGGTCGAGAGGAATGAAGGCCCTCACTTCTGAGCTGGCCTCGGTTGGAGTTTCTCGGCTCCCTGGTTGTGGTCCGAACGATGATGAACACGTTTGTTTGGACACACTTGCTTGTATGGCTAGGAGCTGACTTCATTGGCGTTCGTGCTGTAAGTTTCTTTGTCCTATCCCATCCCTCTTAGCCTCCCCCTCCAACCACAACCTCATTATTTAGCCTTAGATAATTTTGCATAGTAATTTTTTGATGCGCAGTAGCCGGTTGGTAGGTTACCGGAACGATGCCCATCCGTTACCGGTTGCTCAGCCGGCTTACACCAGTTGCATTTTTTTTCCTTTTTTCTGTGTATTGCGGCACAGTAGCTGAGGTGTTCCCCACCTCTACCTAACGTGTATGATGATGATGATGATGATGATGATGATGATGATGATGATGATGATGAATCATCCAGTCAGAATTAGATCAAACCGGTTGAGGTTAGGATAGATATGATTGGAAAACCGAGGTGTCCATGTTGAGTTGAATGTTTGACTTAAAAATATAAGCGATACACATCATCAGCCGAGTCTTCATTATCCGTTTTCCTGTTAGATCGGAGCACCAAGAAAAAGGTGCTGCAAGCGTCGCTACAACGTCAGACCTTCAGGCTACGAGACATCAGCAGTACGCCAGTAGGCAGAACCGACGCTTCGCTGCCGCATAACTTCCACCGGTCGCACGTGGACTAGGGATACTGTGAGGGTTGCCCTGCCCCTACGTAGGCTCGAACCCGCGCCGTCAAATTACAAGACCAGTTTGTTACCTTTAGGCTACTTGCTGGGGCTAGCCCATCAAGTAAACGCATCGTGCAATATAGTAATAATGAATGTGTGGTATACGTACCATGCACACCCGCCGGGTCTTATCAAATATTAGCATCCCTGAAGTGAACAGGAAAGCTAGAGCAAGCGAGTGAATAACATAGTTAGTTAGTACCCGGTTATGTGAAAGACTTTCGCGTGCGCTTGACAAAATACAAGGGGTATTGCCATCAACAAAGACTATCACTATGGCTACCATCGATCCAGTACGGTGAGTCCCTTCACTGAGCGTCCGCTGTTTATTTCTGTCATTATGTCAATAGCACTGCAAAGTGTGGGTACCTCCATGGCGAATTCCTCCATGTCCTTATCATCAACATATGGATTCAAGTGACGGCCTCTTCTGCTCACCCTTTTTCTTCCGCATGTGTGTCTAATCAACTTAGATCGTTTCAAGCGAATGAAACCATGAGGAATGAGTTCAGAGAGGTTTGAAAACAATCGATTGGTATAGTAGGTTGGTAACATTTCTTCCTCGACACAAGGGCAACGTCAGAGTAGGTAAATCAGTGTGCAATTGGGGTAGGATTTTATAGCCAACAGAGGCGATAACCGCGTTACCCGAGACTTGAGCCATGGTGTCATTACAGTCAAAGTTCGTGATGTCAGCTCAGGCGGTTCAATCACAGTGGGAATAGTCAGGTTTTTCTTTGTGCGTCATGGCATTGACGCATAAGCCCTATGTTGACAATGGTAGTCGGTTTGCATTTTCCAATCTGACCCATCCACCGATGCTGCTCAGGCTCGCCGGCTTAAGACCGCTCGCCATGCATTAGGGAACTCTACCTCCTCCATTCTACTCACACAGTTGTCAGATTTGGCAATTTCCACCGCCTCGGCAAGCAACCGCTGAGGTGTTGATCGTATACCCCTCCTAATGACTTCTACATTTTCCAAGTCTATCTGGAGACCCGAGTCTAGTGCATGCACAGCCACAGCCATTCTTTTACTACTGCCTGGTATTCAAACTCGTTTCTTAGTAGTCTCGAAGTGCGCCTTTTGTGTTCCGAAATGCATGTGCGGAATTCCCTCTCTGTTAGCCTGTGTACACATGTACAGTCCTCACATTTAATTGTAGAAACACAGTTAGTCATCCTATCCCTGGGAAGGGGGTCCTTCAGGTGTAGCAGCGCCGGACGTAACGTTCGACCTCGCTGAAAGATCACACTTATATTTGCCTTGTTTAGTACCCTCCGAATTGCTTCTGAAGTGCCTTCCTTGTACGGAATGTCGACTGTCCCTATCCACTCGGTTTTGGGTCCTGACTGCCGGTTTAGCACTTTATGCAATTGGGCTTTTAACTAGCCACAGTGGGTAACCACTTTTTAGTAGTTTGCTCATTGCCACCTTCCGCGCAGCCTTTTTGTCCTCCCACTGTGATTGAACCACCTGAGGTAACCTCACAAACTGTTACCGTAATGACACCATGGCTCAAATCTCGGGTAAAGCGGTCACCGCCCCTGTTCGCTACAAAATCCCACCCCAATTGCACACTGATTCACCTGCTCTGACGAAGCCCTTGTGTCGAGAGCGAAACGTTACCAAACTACTATACCAACCGATTGTTTCCAAACCTCTCTGAACTCACGAATACTCGATTGGTTCCAACTATCTTCCAAGAATTTGGAATCATGCGGAGCTTATCATATGGCACGGGTGCTCCAGTTAAGACGAAAGAATCTTTCAAATTTAGTGCGCTTGTTACCTATTTCGATACGATTCATGACAATCATCCAGCTTTTGCCAAATATATTCATTTCCAAAGTCTGCTATTTTCACCTGATTCAGTGAAAACAGAAGGAAAATGTCAGTTCGCCAATTTGGACCAGCTTAAGTTTAAGGCGACACTGCAAGTACAGCCCAAACGATGTCACAACTTGTCAAAAATTGCATCACTTACTTCTATACGAGTGAACATGTTGTCGATATTCACTTCAGTCATATGTTTTTTGTTTAGTGGGTAGTAACATTCGGCCGGCAATAGAGTACCGCTCAAGATCCACAAGGTGCCATCCTTGACACTGTAGCAAACTCATTTTGAAAAGGACACTGCATTGAGCAGCTCTTTTATCCTCTATTACTTTTGTTGAAATAACTCATACGTTGTGCACTTGTTACTAGTATTTATGAGCCAACTGTTTTTCGTTTGGTGCACTCATTAGATGGTTGTATTGATAGACACAAGCTCAATCTGGACTGCCATTCACCTGCAAGTAGATCTCGGTTAGATATTGGGTATTGCCTGTTGGAAAATGCTGCTCTCGGTCACTGGGAACTCGGTGCTCATTGACGCAGGAATAAAATGCTGACCGGCAGTCTCTACATCCGAGAGTAGGGTCATAGTTTTGCTGTCTCCACCTGGAGAGTATGAACAGGCGTGAACTCGGCCATGGGATGCAGTGCTGCCGGCAGGAAACATATAACCTGGATCTGCTTCGGGTACCTTTGGAATCCAAGTCTGAGCGATAAACACGTATTAAGCTTTGTTAACAATCTCACCTCATGTTCAAAGGTTCTAACTATGAAGGCCCTAGATGAAGAGAGCGGGAAGGTGTTCAAGGAGTGCGAACTGGCAGCAATAGCACTTTGCGCACTATAACTCCTTACCGCCACTCTGATGACTGAAACAAATGGGACTTACTTCTCAGTTGCTTCGTTTGCCCGCATCCTTGCCTGTTCGGCTATCACTCGAGCACGCTTCACCGCCCCTGCCACTTCCATCTTTATGTGGTAATTGTACAAAAGCAAATGTGGCTTGGTGCCTTTCTGCCAGGCTAGGAACACCAAGCGACCGTAGTGATAGCGGCCTTGTTCACACGTGCCGTCCTGAAAGTGAGTTTGCCCATAACCGTGTCGCTGATTTTTGAACCACTGACCCTCGTAGGTCACACCGTCCGAGCGTTCACATACACCGTAGCCGTGCCGGAAGTCTCCGCCCCACTGTCCAGCAAACGTTTCTATCGTCTCCGGGTCTATCGCATCATCCTGTGGGACACAATATAGGAAGTTGTGCATGGAGTGTGAGGAGCATCTGCAGACTGTACACACAGCTATATATATATATATTTATTTATTTATTTATTTATTTATATTTATATATGTACAACACGGCCAATAGCAGCATTGGCATAGTGCCAAAACATATGGAAAACAATAAACATACGAAGATAGAAGGAAAAAACCGGTGTTCATGGGAATAGTGAGACACAACAAGTCCTCCATTGTGCAAGATTTCTTCTCATATCCGAAAGTGTTTCCAGACATGTGTATTCCGGAGCCCACACACTCCAGCCAGGCAGCCGAGAGCGCCCGATCAGAGCTAATTTTGACGCAAACTGCTTTATCCTCCTGGCCCTAGTCCTACAGTTGCCACCTTGCTTTCGCTTCCAACTGACTTCTGCGTACACAAAAACGGAAGGCCGAGGTAAGCGGTGAGTAAGCATGAGAAGAACATGCCCAAGCCACTGAAGTCTGCGCAGAGAAGTTATATGTTTCAGTGGCCTGCAAAGTCTGTTTGATCTGCAAATGCTTCGTCAAATATCTTCATTGCTAATGTGATGTTGCCATCGTACACCAGCAGTGTTCCGAAGGTAGCGGTGAGCAAAAACAGACAGCCTCACGACCTCATTTGCGCGGACAGTCCAAGTGTTGCAGCCATAGAGAAGAACCGCTCTCATTGTGGCATTGTAAACTCGGCCCTTCAGAGCTAGACTCAGATCACCTCGACGCCAGCGATGGCGGAGATTAGCAAAAGCAACCGGAGCCTTGGAGACGCGCAAAGAGACCTCATCCGCTAAACCTTTAGAGCGGAGGCAGCTTCTGAGGTAAAAGAAATTGTCCACCAATTCCAATGAATGACCTAGGAGATTAAGGTTAGGAGCAGCACCTTCAGGATAACCTTGCATTTAGATGGTGCGAAGGTCATTCCAAACTGGGAAATAAACATTTCCAACCAACAGAGGATATTTTGGGCGGCCTGTGAATAAGCGCAGATTACGGCGATGTCGTCTGCGTACTCCAAATCTTCAAGTCGGTCCACGGAAGCAGCTCGATGCCGCTGGGCTCGCAGTTGTCCAGAGCACCCACCAGAATTTCGTCCATAGCGAAATTGAACAAGGAGGGGGATGCTGGGCAACCCTGTCTCAAGGCACTGGGGATACCAAAGGAGGAAAAATTCCGACTCACAACTGTACTTGGCCCGAGATTTATGAGTAGATGGCTTGAAGTAAGGCGACAGTTCTCGGGCACTCCCCTTCTCAGTAGACAACTCCAGAGCGCAGCTCTTTTGATTGAGTCCGACGCTGCTCGTACGTCTAAGAAGACAACGATTGTTGACTGGCCATATGTTTGACAACGCTCGAGTATTTGGCGAAGTGTAAGATTTGATGGATGCAACTCCTATCTGAATGGGACCCTGCTTGCTCTTCACGTATGCATATCGGTCAAAAGCGATAAAGCACCTAAATAGACTTACGCAATGAAATGTCCTGGCTGTTCTAACACAGCTTACTTCAGGTGTCCAGTTGAGTTTAATAGTGGTTGCAAACACATCTATGTGTAATCTGGAGACAGCAGGACTCAGACAGCTATGAGACAGAATGACGTAGGTGCCGCACCAACATAACCCGTACTACACTGCCGATCATTTGACACTGCCCATTATCAGAACTGTCATGTACTTTGGTACAGCATGTTCATCACTCTGTCAACATAAAAACTACCTGGACGGGTTCAGTTTGGTAATAGACAAAAGTGCTCTTTTTCATCGCCGGAATTAAATAAATGCTGGCCGCTCACATTGTCACAACCATCATGATGTACAAGCGGTTACGTGATCCTTTCGAGACCTCCGGGTATTCCGGATTCCGGGTTTTCTTCACAAAATGCACTCCTCCGTTGTCTGGTTAATTCTGTTAGTAGAATATTTGTTGCATTTTAGGTGACACACCAGGCTCCAAAAGTTTGAGTGCACTTCTGGCTCCGTGTCCAGATTTGGGGGGTAAACTTTGAAGGATTTACGGCCACTTCTGTGTGCTCTGGATTTCGTCAGCTACATGCTACGTGTAGGCATTCTGTATCCAAAGCAGTCGAACTGTAACCATATCAGCTGGTATCCCTAGCCAAAGAAATGATGAAATCTGCTATCAAGCAAAGTGTCTTTTGACAGAGCATTCCCAAGATAGGTAGTCTCCCGACTGATAACCATTCGGTGTTGTGTCTCAGATAATTAAAGACGTAACCGTAGACTCACCTTGGTTGTAATCTGCATACTGGAGCCAAAGGTGTGGTGCTAATTTCATGGCTGCTTCTTCTAAAATTGATGATCTTTTAACTCAGATTTTCATATCGAGGGCTTCCGCAAGCAACCATGCAAGCGAAGGCTGCAATTGCTGGGTATCTTCAGCGGACGCTACCGAAGGCTGCGCTGTGATCTCATATTTGTGTATCAGATATTCAGTGACCACAACCACGTGTGCCGCCATCTGCTGGAATAGCCCCCAGACCGAGCTCAGGGGTAAATGTCTAAAACTATGTGACCAATGCAGTCGTCCAGATTGTCGACGGAATTACTTCTCTCCTCGGGTTTGCCAACCATGGAACTCTCACAAAAACAGTTGTTTCCTCTCCTACGTTAAATAACTTCAAAAGACGATCCGACGTTACTCTTAGCTTCCAGCACTTCGTTACTTAAACTGAGCTATTGTGGACTACATTAATCAAGCTATTCTACCGGATTTCTGTGTCACATGGACCCAAGGAGGCTACACATAAGTGAGCAAACATATCTTACTTTTCTCACGTTTTACGTCAACGAGCACTGTACCCTGTGTACTTCTGCATGGATGCATTCGATTTTTCTTTTACATCAACGTTATTTAGGAACACATTTAACACGGTAGACATTCGATAGATGACTCGCATACTTTTTGATATTATGATAATTGCCCCAACCATCCTGCGGAACATGTCAAGCACTTTTCATTTTAACCTATGATAACTCATTGTTCCTCGTCCGTGATAGGCTACTCTGGAAGTTCACACACCACTTATGTTAGTTGAGTACATGCTTACCGGCACCAATTCATTGAATTTTATATTGAACGGTACCAGTTAATAGATTATAACTCTCCATGCTCAGTTTACCATGTGTTTATATTAAAGTCGTGACAAGTGAGTCCTTGTGCTTCTTGATAAAATTATCTTTACTCACCAGATCAAGGTTGAAGACGGATTCTGCCGTGGCCTCATGTTGCGCTTTGCGAGTGGATCGTTCCGATGCACTTCCCTGACGCTTCACACGGGGAATAGACTCGCGGCTGGCTGACCGGTGGAATAGATTGGTCAGTGATCTTGCCCTAGTGTGTCCAGACCTGTTGCTGCGGTCCCGGGACTTCCTTGAAACTTTAGCTCCGACCAATTTGAGCTGACGGCGCTGTATTAGTTCACTCCTTTGAGAGGATAATACAAAACCACAGCGAAATTTTGTCGACATCCGCAAGTCCCGCATTCCACCACCAGTAGGGCTGGCAGTGTTCGGTGTCTGTTTGCGATTGATGTACAATTCATCCTCGTCGTAGTCGTCGTCGTCGTCTAAAAGTTCACCGTTTTCTACTTCTGCGTTATCTCCCGAACGCTGACTGAACAGACTACCTTGGCGAGTGAGTCTTCCTCTTTCCAACCCTGGTGGACTTCCAACACGTTTCGCTTTCAAAGCCATCTCTGCGGCGAGGGCTGCTTCTTCAGGGAAGAAATTTATCACCTCTCCATATGGAATTGATGTGCGTACTCCCAAGCCCTCACGGATTCCATTCTTGTACTCACCAGCATACGATCCTGTGTAAAGAGTTAAAATGGCGTATGGAACTCACTTTCCTAAATCAGTGCTCGATTAGCCGAATCACATTACGTGTATTAAATGTATTACATTAAGTGTATTAATTACATTGAGTCTATACGAGGCTACCTAATGAAAAGAACTACAGATACACGTTCATGTAATTCATATAGCTGGCATAAAAGCGTTAACTGCGCCGAGCAACTTGTCTTTTTCGCTCGACTGATATGGCCGAGATGTTCAGTGTCCCTTTACGGAGTATACCAAACTGTACTCCGACCGATCAGAAAAGCAATGATGATCAAACAATGCGAAATTGGAATCTGGCACATTGTGCTGAAGTCCAGAAATCTGGGCAGAAATGAACTAGCTGATGAAAACCCCAGGATTCATCTAACTCTGGACAGCTAAGTAAAAATTCTATGGATTAGTTTGTGTAGACTACATAATCGCCGCCGTCCGACGTAAGTTATGACTTATCACCAATGATTTGGCACAATGGAGTTGTATTAAATTATCATATGTCAAATCGTATTCAACTTTGAATTAGATGTACAGGTGTTCGAAAAATAATTGGATAGTAAACTAATTATCTGTTTCGGCTGACCAGATCACTAGCTCACAGGTTGTAGCTATCTTAAGAATACACGGGAAAAGAAAAGTGTAGTGGAGCACTTTCTTGGAATAGAGCAGGACAAGGTATGCTCCTAGGTAAGAACATCTCAGACGAACCCTACTTGTTCCCTACACATTCCCAATTCCGAACGTAGATAACAAGGCTCGGGACTTGCTCTATTGCTTGACCATGTACAGTCACATTTACCTGGATGAACTCCATGGGGCGCAGTTTGTGGTTTCGTCACGACCTATCCAAGCCGCCTTCAGGAAACTACCAGGTTCCAGCTAAACTAGAGTGGTACCTTCTAGTGAACGGGCAAAGTACGTTTCTGCGAAATGACATGAAAACAGGCTTGGTTACTCCGAAGCGGATTACGGCCAGGTGCACAGTCGGTGAAATGGTATCTTAATGCTCCAGTTGAGGTCCTCATCATGACGTGATTACCTTCGGTACTGTAGTGCTACTAATTACATGTCCATGGATTTCGTAACGTCAGACCAGGTTGTGAGAAGCTGCGGTATTTTATTGAAGTAGCTACGTAGTAAATGAATGGGGATAAGTTCGAAATGCCTAGATTCACACGGTAAAAGTTTATCATCGAGTGGACCTGAAGAGATGTGATGCAGTTTTGGTTATTCCGACCACATGAACCTTTTCCGAAATAGGGGACGTTTCGGCGTTGCTCCTCCCAACACTGACACCTCATGGCCGGTTTCGTCCTACTTTGGAATCCTCAGATGGATATAGCCTGATCTGGATGAAACTCGGGGCCTAGAGGTTAACGGCTGACACCTTGATCCCTATACCACTAAGATCAGTGAGTAACGCTTAACACAGCGGTGAGGAATTCAAAGTTGGGTTTGATTACCCGCTGGTTTATTCTACCAACGGCATGCCCAAGTTATCAAAAATCGCAGTTGTTCGTTGTCGTTCGGTGCGGACGTGTGTCTATGTATGATTATCTAGTGCCATGAAGTCTGAAACGTCAATCGATTAAAAAATCAATCCGCATTTCATGGATACTCTTCAGCGATTATTCCATAGTTGTAAATGTCAGAAGGCTTTCGCAGCCCGCTTCCAACAAGCTTTGACATTTTCGGTTACTGGGACCGTTACTTAGCTAGGTCAATTGCAGAGGTTTGTCGTTCTTGGACACCGCGTTACAAAGCGACACCGTCCACAGTTGTACTCTTCGTATGTGGCTACTCGAGTTTTGACACGGATGCCGCGTTTAACTAACATGGCAAGTAACTCAAAACTCTAAAAGATGTGTTCCCAGTCGTTACTGTAAGCGTTGTCATTGGAGATCAGTGGTGTGGCTGTGAAGGAACATGGCCCCACACTAAGCTCAGGTTGTCCTTACTCGAGGAATGCTAACTAGGAGGATGCTTGTCTTGGAGCGTTTGTGGTAAAACGCCTTCTTTGAAACATTGTTAAAGGAATTGTGGGCACCTAGGCTTCTCACAATTTTCGGTTGCAGGATTCAAAACAGTAGGTTATTTTACGGAATGTTGCACTGCCTAACCACAACAAGCCATGGTGCGCTTTCAGCACTTGTGTTTTCCTTTTGTGGAAATGAGTAACCCGCTCATCTGTCAACGCTTTCGGATATCCCTACAAGGTGTTTTGCCATCACGTTTCATCAAGTCCATGCGAAGTGCTGCACTTTCTGTCAACAAATTCCGATAATATATTGTTTAAAAAAAATAAAAATGGGATTTGATAAGCCTAGCTAACGCACTACTTCCATTCCTTCAACGGTGTTTTGTGGCACATCAAAATGAGGAGTTACTTATTTAACTGCTTCTTGTATGTCTTGAGTTCACGAATTCCTCACCGTTCCCGTCAGCGGCTGTGCCATTCTGTGTTACTAGGTTGAATTTAGAGAAAGGAGTTACCAAAGTGACCACTACGTAGTTCACTTGGGGATACATAGGCGATGCGCTCCTTCACAGAATGTGACCGTTTCATTAGGTGACAAGACTTGCATTATGCAACTCTCGATTGAACGTTAGAATGGCCTCGAAAGCACAATTTCCTAATATTTGACTCCGAACTCGTTGCAGGAAAATAAATGTATATTCTTAATGTGTTTATTAAGATGACCTCCTGTGGATGTTCATAAATATGAGGTTTGGCCGCCTCATGAGACCAGACGCCCGAAACCCGCCGTGAAAAAATTATAATCTAGGCAGTAGTTCATAATGCTACAATATCGATATAACTATGCAAGGGTATTTAGCGTATTGACGATTGTGACAGCTGGTTTCATTAAGGTTCGTTTATTTACATCAGATATTGGTTTTCTAATTTAGTGGTGGCAACTGGAGAATTGTTCTTTTCGTTTTCACTTTCAGTAAACTAGCATGTCGGTTACATAGCTGCTTGAAGGCAGTTATCTCTCGCAACGTCAGAAACATTTGGAATTGTGCATACTTTCGCCCACGGTGACTTCGACATACTTCGGGATTAGCAGCGTTCTCCTTGTTATGCACGTTTCAAATTCTGCATTATTGGGGCAACACTAACTCGCTCGAATCAAATAATGCTTCTGCTACCTGCCAGCCTTTTTCGCTATTACTATGGGCTCATCGAACAAACTTCTCTCCGTCATAGGACAGCAAATCATTTCCTACTTAATAACTTATGTCCATGTAAGGACAGGATGATTACTCGTCCACGAACATGGTCACTATGAAGTTTTAGATAGCTAATACTCACACAAACGATACGCGACAGCAATCAGCACAAAAACAATGATTCAAAATGCTGTCAGTAGACTGAGCTAAGTGCTCGGAAGATCTACGTACATACATGTGGATCGACACAGCGTTCAGAAGTGCAGCTTTGTTTATTCTTCTCGTTAAATATCCATTAATTGTTTTACGAGCTACATTCCCCATATCATCATACTAAACGTTTTGACGCCCGATAGCTTTCTAAGGGTACCCATGTCAGCGTCGTTCTGGCTGGAACTTGTTCAGCTTTGCACCACAATCCTCTATGTGGCGTTCTCTGTGACTCAGAAGCTTTAAATTCATCACCCTTCAAATAATTGGGCACCCTCATAGGGGAAATGACTATGCCAAAGCTAGAAACTGGGATAACACGGTATTTTCTGAAACGCTATTGAAATAACTGGTTAGACAAATTGACTTTCCCTTTCGGGGTATTTAAACAGAGGTTGCAACAAATGGTTAATAGGCTGTCTGAGTAAAGTATAAACCCGTCATACGAAAGTAGTAGACACAATGCCTAATTATACTTGCACATAATCCGTAAAAATTTACCTCTTCGATCTCGTTCATCTCGACTAGCATGAAAGATAACAGGCCGAAACCCCACCCCCAGTTGAATGTTGACAGCCTGATGGACTACCACTTATGAGTATCATTTGAGCACGGCCAAATAATAGCAGTTCACGGGAAGCGACATATCCAAGCCATACGATATACCGGGAGCGCACTCATGAAGTATTGCAGGTAGGCGCACGCATCCAGCGTAAATTAACGCCGGACACCAAGTGCTAATGCTAAGTGCACACTGCGCGTTTACTTGTTAGGCTTGCTCAACTGTAGCTGTCGCATCTAAGAGGATTCCTTAAGTGGAAAATACAGCGATTAATCGGGAACTACGTGGAGTGAAATTTTATCCTATGCTTTTCATCAAACTATCTAAAACTACGAAGTATTTCTGGTGAGATGAGAAACTGTACCAGAGAGCAGTGGAACAACTCGTTATAAAAACACTGAATTTATTAAATTGTTCAAAAGTGTGAGAGGAGGAAATGTGATGTAGATCGCGTTTTCGGGAGCAGAACTTGCGCCGCATTTTTTTCAGTTTGAAACTCTAAGACCGGTCCGGTTATACACAGCCGCCATTGTGCACGCCCATGTGGTCGGACAACATGCACCGGTATTTCACAGGGAGTGCTATCGATTTTCGTTAGTGCCGATGTTTGGCGCACCTAGCTGTCGTGCCGCCAACCATTTTAGTCGGTTGGACGTGGTGCTTGGTTAAGGACAAGCTTTCCGAGATGGTTGCTGCTCTTTAGTCAGAAATTCGCATTTGCCGCCGTCACCAGCTCATATCTAAGATCAATTTAAATATGTGTGAGGATTGAACTCGTCGTTCAACATATCTATATAAATATCTATATAAATATAAATATAAATATATCTATATAAATATAACTATATATATATATATATATATATATATATATATATATATATATATATATATATATATATAACTTGCCCAGAGTGCCACAACACGAGTAACAATAACAAAAAGGAGGAAGTAAGAGGTAGCTGAATAGATGGAAAGTTCTATGTGCTGTGTGAGCATTGAGCTTCCTGGTTGCCTAGGCCGAGGAAG